GTGTGTTAGGTAGCGTTTTTTCCTCGCAAGAAATATTAACACACGACTGCAATATAACGTTTTATCCACAATCACAGGCCCAAATTATTCCAAACTTAAATAAAAATTAAACTGACATTTAAACGTCACGTCAAATGTGTTTTCGGTTAAACATAGTAAGCTGTTACGCGGTTACTAACAGTGGAATAAAGTAACTTTATACATAAAGAGTTACTTTATTCCACTAGTGGATAAACTGTTACTTGATACGCATCTAAAGTATGGAATAAAGTCTCTTCATAGAGTGATTGTGGATAAAAGTTAATTAGAAATGGAAATACCTAAATAATATCATTTTCGCATTTTTTATAACAGAAAATAATAGAATGAAAAAAATCTGAAAAATAAAGGGTTGATGGAAAATGACAATAAATCATAATGATATTGAAATAGTGACATAATAAGAATTTACTATTAAAAGTATAACAATGAAAGGTAAACAAGATTCAACTATTTTTCGAAAACGATTAAGAACTAAAAGTAAATAATTTTGAAAATAGAAAATAGAAATTATTGCGATGAAAACCGATTTTTTTTTTTATTTAATTAATGTTTCAAAAGTAATAAGCTGTTTAATTGGTGTTTCTTTGTTTTATTTAACGACCATGAACAGAAATAATATAAAAAAAACCCTCTTTAAAGCGCGCTATTTCAATACTGGTTTTGAAAAAATCAGAATTTATTTTTAGATTTAACTTCAAAATATGAAAATAAGTTCTTTTTATAGATGTTTATATTTAAAATACAAAATTTTCAAGTTTAACTCGAAATTTGCAGTAAACTTTTCAGTGGCTTTGAAATATAAATTAACTTTCGTGATATTTTCAGTTTGTCTGTAACTGTCTTTGGCGCAAATTTCTGTTCGTGGAGTAGACTACAGTTTCAGTTTTGCCGACAGAACACAAGTTCTAACACAAATTTCAACACTTTTTATTTCAGTATCCATCTCATTCTCATACTGTAATAAATTTTTGAATGCAATTATTAGATGAAATATCAATACTGCAAATTTATTTATGAATTATTGCAGAGCTTATTGTAAAATCGTGATAAGCCACATCATCAAATTATTGACAAATAGGACTTTGAGTATCAGAAAAATCTATAAAATTTGTATCTTGATATTATAGCTCCTAGGCTTTTTGATAAATTCAGTAACTCAGAACAGTAACCTTCACAAATCTTTTGAAAAATACCCAAACTCTTGACTGTGTGGTTTGTCTAAAGTCTTGATGGTATTTTAAAAAAATGTGTGTTATCACGTTTTTGTGAATTGATTACTGAATAGAAATAAATCTACCACCTACCACTAGTAGTACAGTACTCGAGTATTGATAGTATGTTTTTACTTTACTTACTAGTGGATAAAGTAAATCTAAAGATTTTAAATTATTAGGAATTGTAAAAAATGTGGTGGCACTCATGATTAAATTCCACAAGTGGGCATAAAATTTCATAAAATTTGCTTACACTTTACGTGTGTAATTCGATTTCTTTGTTTCAGAGAGAAGAGTAGTGGTAACTCCACCCCACGTAGATTTGGAGAAATTAGCCGAACTCGAAGGCCCTCAACTTGCAGAACTTGTGCGTTTATACATGACCGAAAACGAAGCCCTCCGACGTGAAAATTCTGAACTCTACTCTTCCCGGGAAATCCTACAAAGAGATCACGAACTCGTCTGCCGGGAAAACGAGCGCCTACTAAAGAAACTCGAAGAGGTCAATTCGTACGTGTCAAGACCCTCCTTTCCCAAAATCGATTATAATTTTTATTTTAGTGTATGTTGTAGGTCTCCACTGATACCAGCTCGGCCAGCGTTTTCCGCCGAACTCCTCAACAGCATCGAATCAGAATCTACGACAAACATTTGGTCAGACGGCGACAAATCTTCACATAGCCGATCCCCACAGCAAATTCCACAATCTATTCAGAAGGAGTTAGACAAGAGACAAATCAAAACAGAGTATGTGATGCCAAAGTGGCTGAATTTTTGCCTAAATGAAAATTGTAGGATCCAAACACCTAGACGAGGACACCGTAGAAACAAATCCTTGGAAGAAAACTCGAGCGATTCGAAAGTAGTTCGAGTCAAAAGCTCCGAATCAGATGGAGGTCCAGTTTTGATAAATCGTTCTGGGTAATTTGCCTTTCAAGTTGTACAGTTGCACTTGTCAAATTTTGTGATTTGAGCGACTGTAATAACTTGACACAGTGCAAAAATTTTGTTTGTGGTTTTAACATGAGGTTGTAATTCAGCACTTTCGACTCGAGTAGTCCGGAAAGAGAACGCAAACAGGCAGGTAGGCGTTTTTCTGTGGCAAAACCAGACGAAAATGAGTCTTCACAAAACGGAACACGACGCAAATTAGAGAAGAATTCACATATTTTTGGAAGCGTTATTTCTTTAACGGATGAAGAAGACATTTAATTATTAAATAGATAGCTCGAGTGATATTGTAGCAATACCTAATCTTGTTTTAGTACGCTCTCCCATATTGTACCAATAGTTAAGTTAAACTCACACTGTAGAATTAAATTCTCTTAGAATAATCAAATTGTTTCTATTAAAATAAAGTATCAATATATTATTTTATTAGAAAATAGTGTTTTGTATATTTAACTAGCCCACTACAACATTTATTTTTTTTAATAGTGAATAAAAACAAAATAAAACCATGTTTACAAAAACACAACTATTTATTATTAGTTTTAAAACTTTATAAATATTTCACAGAAATAAAGGTAAGTACTTTCAATATAAATGAAGTAAGTATATTTTTCATTTCCTCAGGTTTGGAAAAACTCAACTCATTTGCTTCAAAAAATGTGAATTCTTCTCTTCACAAAAAAAATAAAAAACAATATTGTTAATAATAATAAAATTCAATAAGAATACTCATAGTTATTAAAGAAAGCTATAATTTGTAATTGGGAAGCTTGTTATCGTGTGACAATGTAATAACCATTGTGTTAATTGGAAAAAAAGCAGATTAGATTAAGCACATAAATCACTTTATTATTTTAGACAATTTTTTTCATTATTATCCTAAATGTTATCAAAAAGCAGGAACTAATTTAATTTCAAAGTTGTGTTGTTTGCTGGAAATTAAACATTGTATACCGCTTGTGTAAAATTGGTAAGTGAGAATTTCTAATATTAAAATAAAATAAAGAAATCCAGAACTTTGGATTAAATTAACTTATTGTTGTTCATTAATTAGGTACATTAGAAAAACAAATTCTAACAAATAGTAAATTTGTGTTACCTTGTCACATCAGTATAGTGCAAAATGATCGTTATCGTGGTCTTGTCCATTCTTACAGGAATTTTTGTATGGTTTGTTGGATCTTACTTCAAAAGTTTAGGAGTATTATTTTCAAGTAAACCACTGTAAGTTACTTTGTATATTTAAACAATCATAAGATATTTGATGATCAACTCACGCAATAAGAACATGATGTATTCTAAAAATGATTAATTTGCTTAATTTATTATCGTATTGACTTAAAATTTTTGAGCTCAGTTTACGCAAAAATTAAAACGTACGTTTGACAATTATGTCATGTTTGTTACTTGGCCTTTGTTACCTCAAAATTATTTAAAAAGATAACTGAACCGTGATTCACTGGTAAAGTTATTATCAGATTATCACATACTACTTTCACAACTATTTTAAGAAAACTCACTGTGAACATTTTAATTCAAAATGATTTTCTGTAAAAAAAAAGTTGGCAAAAATTTTGCTCAGATACAAATTCAATTTTTGTGACGATTATTTGATTATCATTATTATTATTTTATCGCAGTTTTCTAGAACGTATGATTCATTAATTGTTGATGTACCTGCACGCCATTAAATATTGCACAATTTAATCATTTCTACTTTTCAACATATTAAAACCCTGTGCTTATAACAAAAGGGTTTTAAACGCTAGAGCAAAGGCGTATATTTTAAAATACCGATGTGCAGAAATCTACGTTTTTATTAGTAAGGAAGTAGGTATCTCCTTTCTTTTCAAAAGTCATATAACTCATAGTACAGTGTGAGCAAAAAGTCTTTCGATCAAGTAGGCGTCCTAGCACAGCTAGTTGAGGACGTATGTTGCATGGCAGTTCGTATGTTATCTAGATGTCAAAAAATTATTTTATAAAAATTAAAACATTGAGCTAATTAAATTGAATTATTCCATGAAACGTCTCAAAACAAACTAAAATAAGATTTTGTTGGTGTTTATTCATAAAAATCGTTTACCACGGTTTCCTGTCATAATTTACATAACAAATATTTTGACATTTCTCATTTGCCATTGTAACATTTTATCTTCCACAGACATACGTTTTAAATTGTATGTCAGTGCGATCAAAAAGTCTTATGTTAGCTAGATTATTTTATAAAAATTAAAATATTGATCTAAGCAAATTGAATTATTCTATAAAACGGCTCATTTCAAAACATCCTAAAATGAAATGTTTTTGGTGTTTATTCATATACAAATTCCAAATTATTCACCACGATTTCGTGTCATAATTTACATTAATTATTTTGATATTTCTTATTTGTCATTATGACGTTTTATCTTCCGTGGACACACCCTTCTAAATGTCTACGCTTGCTTGGTAGAAAGATTTTTTGATCGCACTGTATTATTTATGTGTAATGTTGGTTGTATAATCATTCATATTTGTACTTAATTTAAAACATCCTGTATATTATTGAAACAAATATAATAAAGAATTGTTGCAACCTATTATGTTGTTATAAATTGTATTACAATGTTTAAGTTTAAAAATGAACTGACATCGATTTTCAGGTTTTTAAAAACTGACATAATGACAGTTAGTTTGTCATGTTGGCATAAATTTGACAGAATAAAACAAAACTAAAAAATAATAAAAATCAGAGCTTGTTATTAAATTTTGATCCACAACCTTTCAAAATTAACGTAACTGTCAAAACCGTACAGTTATAAAATAAAATGTTAATCGGTGTAAAATCACTTAAATTATTTCTGTGTCCGAATTGCTTTGCTTAACATTAAGCAACAATTAGTGTGAATCTTGTGCGATAATTTCCAATTTAAGCGCGTAAGTTTGATGAATTGTGGGAAATTTAAAGGTCGTTCACAAGTGTATGAATCACGCATTGCGGCATGCGCACTAGCCCCGTTCTCTCTTTGTTCGTTCATTGTGCGCTTTAAGCCAGCGTTCTATGTGATTCTAAGTGAAAAACCGACCGATTGACATTGATATATGGTTATATTCGCGCAAATTCCTCGATTGACCCGAAACTAATCAAACTGTGTCCTTTCGTGTCCGATGTCTAGTGCTGAAATCGCCGAAGGCTCCGTCGATCCCCCAACTAAGAAGCGGAAGCTTGACTCATTGCCGATTTCAACAGACATGGCGAACAACGGCGCTTCTGGATCGTCTCAGCCGTCCCAGGACATCGATGAGGGCCTCTACTCGCGCCAGCTGTACGTCTTGGGGCACGACGCCATGCGCCGCATGGCTTCCAGCGACGTGCTCATCTCGGGTCTCGGCGGCCTGGGCGTCGAAGTCGCCAAAAACGTCATCCTCGGAGGGGTCAAGTCCGTCACGTTGCATGACGAAGCCGTTTGCACCGTCGCCGACCTCTCCTCGCAGTTCTACTTCTCGGAAGCCGATGTCGGCAAGAACAGGGCCGAAATCTGCTGTAAGCAGTTGTCCGAACTCAACACTTACGTCCCCACGAAGGCCTACACGGGCCCCCTCACTCCCGACTTCATCCTCAAGTTCCGAGTTGTCGTCCTCACCAATAGTTCCCTAGCTGAGCAAATGCAAATCAGCGAAATCACACATGCCAATAACATTGCACTCATTGTGGCCGATACGAGGGGGCTGTTTGCCCAAGTGTTCTGTGATTTCGGAGATGCTTTCACGGTCGTTGACACTAATGGAGAGTCACCGGTCTCGGCGATGATTGCTGATATTTCGAAAGATAAAGAAGGTGGGTACAAAGAAATAATAGCAGTCATTACAAGGCTTTGTTACTCAATGACTAATCTTAACGTTATGCATTAAGTTTATATATAAAAATTAACGAACTAGGCTTCTCCTTGAGTGGAGAAGCTCTTAGTCTATGGTGACATCACAAGCATAGAAAAATAAGTACAAAAAGTGCGAGTTTTCTATCTAACCAATCTTAAGAATATCGCATGATCAAATAAATGTATCATCCCAGTCGCCATTAAAAAACAAAAATCGAGGCTACTTGATGCAGAAAAATTGAAGCTGTTAGAATTTGTCAAATTAAATAGCGGGTGATCAACAATGACCGTTTGAGTTGGTAACAAAATTAAAAGCATTTTATTATTCGTCTGTTTGCAACACTGCAACCGGATATTGTTTTGCTTAACTGCTTAACAGATATTTGATGAAATAAGAATACTGTCAATAACTAGAAGTTACTGCAGTTACAGATTTAATAGTTTAAACACAATAATACTCTTATAAGATTAATATTCTGTAGTTTTAAAATTTCAAAACCTTCAAAATGTTCAAAATGCATTAATGACAAGTTCAAAGTCACATTATTATCTAAGGGCTGTTTTACATTTAATATTATTTTAAAATTTAATATGTTTTGAGTCTAATTTTTTTGACTAATTCTTTTCGGACACCTCATAAAGTTAACTCGTGTAACAACGCCTCTCTATTTTTTAAAATAGAATTATTTCATTAGTGTGGTTTCTTAAATTTAAATTTTGTGTTTACTTATTAGAACAGTAAAAAGTAATGTGATCAGTTAACGAAATATTATTGGCAAAAATTTTAAAATTTGTTCTTCAAAGAGAAAATATACAGTATGTCCTGGATTGAGTTTACAATAGGAAAAAAAATATCTCTGATTTTCAAAGAAATAACATTTGCTCATTGCAGGTGAAGCAAAAAATCTTGCTCTTTTGCAGTTTTGCCGTAAAATCAAAGATAATTTTCCTTTTTCTCTTGTAAACTGAATCCGGGGACGTACTGTATATTAATTAAACAGCCTTCATGTATTTTAAAGAGTGTTTAAACTTCATATTAAAGAATGCAACAGCTGATTATGTTTCTATTTTAACGACAATAATTTAAGTGTTTTAAGAATCATACTTTGTATATATATTTGTTAAAATTTTCTTATTTATCAAGTCGTAATTGGTCTTTTCAGTTTATTATTCTCTTTACCGTAAAATTTTGTAGGTTAATACCGATTCTAGGCATTTAACTAAGAATACCAACATAAGCAATTGTTAAGTGAATTCAATAATTTTTATTAATATAAATCATACAAAAATACAGAGCGCAAAAAGAATTTACAAAAATTGTCAATTGTAGTATTCAAATTTGTTAAAAACATTATTTTTCTCTGATTGCTGAACAGTTTGTTGTTAGAGACCAATTTTCTGCAGAATATTCTCGATTAAAAGGAGAACAACAGTAATGTGGGCTGTTAAGTCTGATTATGTGGTTATAATTAATTTCGAATTTTATTCTATTTCTATTACGCCACATTTAATGTGTCATTAATATTAATAACACATTTGCTCTATATTCTTCTTAATTATATCTTCCTCTTGTGTTGAACAGTCTATTAATTTCTATTTCTATAAATAGGTGTATACATTCGGATTTTTAGTGATCAACAAAACTATGATGTAGTGAAGCAATTTAATACGGCTTTTATTTGATCATATTGGTTTCTGTTTTATTTCATTAGGTTATTAGGCTTTAGGTCATATTTATAGTAACACTAGTTTACTTTTTGAAAATTTTGAAAATAAGAAATTCCTCTATTTAAATTGGAGGAGTGAAAAAAATTGATCATTCTAGTCGTTTCAAATTAGTAAAAAGACATTCGTTTACACTAAAAACTTTTAAAATTGTGACTTATTAAAAAATTAAATTTATATTCATTCAAGTTTGTTTGGGCAAGGTATTATTAAATTAGTACGTCATTTTTGGTGACTTGTGTGTTATTTTGATTAGATCCAAGTAATCAAAATTCTTTTTTAGAGACTGAAGCTTACTTTAACCTGCGTAAATATTATTCGTAATTTAAAATAACCATGATTATGTAAATAACGCAGTCTGAATTATAAACACTTATTTTTGTAGTTGTCTAAGAATCGGACATTTATACAAATACAATAAATAAATCAGTATTGATAAAACCAAAAATTATTCTATAAAAATGTTGCATCATTTTTCAACAGTCTGAGTGTCATTTTATAGCGTGAATTTAAAAATTGATTTTAGATACGTCTAAGGTAAAGGTCATGGTAAACAATGAAGTCGTGTAATAACACTTGTATGTCTTAATAAGTATTGATTTAATGCTTTAATGCATGCAGTGCACAGAACATAATTATTATAAAAGTACTCAACCGATTAATTAATTGAATTTTTTTAAAGGTATTGTCACTTGTATCGACGACACTCGCCATGGAATGGAAGACGGCGACCACGTCACATTTTCCGAAGTTGAAGGAATGACCGAATTGAACAATTGCAAGCCGATTAAAATCAAGGTTTTAGGCCCTTATACCTTCAGTATCGGCGATACGACCAACTTCTCAAAATACGAGCGCGGCGGTATCGCCACTCAAGTGAAAATGCCCAAAATCTTGTCGTTTAAATCACTCAAAGACTCGTTAAAATCCCCCGAATTTTTGATGACCGATTTCGCGAAATTTGATCATCCGCAACAATTGCATCTTGCTTTTCAAGCGTTGCACAAATACGTTGAAAAGCATGGACGAGTACCGAAACCATGGAACAACGAAGACGCATCCGAATTTTTATCCATAGCTAAATCTTTGGCCGTCGACGGCGGAAACGATACCGAAGTGAACACTAATTTGTTAGAAACGTTTGCCAAAGTGTGCGCGGGTGATTTAAATCCGATTAATGCGACTATCGGTGGTATCGTAGCTCAAGAAGTTATGAAAGCTTGTTCGGGGAAATTCCATCCGATTTATCAGTGGTTGTATTTCGATGCGATCGAATGTTTGCCTACGGATTCCGGGGAAATTACCGAAGAGTCGGCTGCCCCTAAAGGGACACGGTATGATGGACAGATTGCTGTTTTCGGAAGCGAATTTCAGAAGAAATTAGGTGAGATTTTTGTTATTCCTATAGGGAAGAATTGCTAATGTTTTGTTTGTTTTTTTTTTACAGGAGGTTTGAAATATTTCGTAGTAGGTGCCGGTGCGATTGGTTGCGAATTACTTAAAAATTTCGCTATGATGGGAATTGGTGGTGAAGGTGGTCAAGTCACCGTCACAGACATGGATCTTATAGAAAAATCTAATCTCAACAGACAGTTTTTGTTTAGACCACATGATGTTCAGCGTCCTAAATCCGGAACAGCGGCAAAGGTAATTTGATTTTTAACATTTAACAATTTTTACGATTTTTGCTCCAGGTGATCAAGAAAATGAACCCGAGCATAAACATAGTCGCTCATGAAAACCGCGTCGGTCCCGAGTCTGAAAACATGTACGACGACACTTTCTTCGAGTCTTTAGATGGCGTTGCAAACGCTTTAGACAACGTCGATGCTCGCATTTACATGGACCGTCGATGCGTCTATTACCGAAAACCTCTTTTAGAATCTGGAACCTTGGGTACAAAAGGCAACACCCAGGTCGTAGTGCCTTTCCTCACCGAATCATACAGTTCGTCACAGGACCCTCCCGAAAAGAGCATCCCGATTTGTACCCTTAAAAATTTTCCTAACGCCATCGAACATACTCTCCAATGGGCTCGTGATAATTTCGAGGGCCTTTTCAGACAGAGCGCTGAAAACGCTTCTCAATATCTCACCGATCCTGAATTTCTGGAACGTACTATTAAATTGCCTGGAGTTCAGCCAATTGAAGTGCTAGAATCGGTCAAAGCAGCTTTAGTTGATGATAGACCAAAGAGTTTTGAAGACTGTGTTGAATGGGCAAGACATCATTGGGAGGAACAATATTCCAATCAGATCAAACAGTTGCTATTTAATTTCCCACAAGATCAAAAGACTAGCACTGGTCAGTTGTTCTGGTCGGGGCCGAAAAGGTGTCCAGTACCACTCACGTTCGACGTGAACAATACCTTGCATTTGGATTATATTTTTGCCGCGGCTAATCTGAAAGCCGAGGTTTATGGGATACCGCAGAATAGAGATCGGGCTTACATCGCCGAAGTGGTACAGAAAATTCAAGTAAGTTTCTATCTGTGTCAACAAATAGAGTAGAGGCTACCCAGCCTAGCCAGGTTAATAAATTATTTTAAACACAATTTATTGGGCCCTGAGGCGCTTTAGTATTTATATAAAAAAGAAAAACGTGTCAAAATGAAAAATAAGAGAACTGGTTATTATTTTGAGGTGTGTTTACCTATTAATTCGACGTAATTTTTTTTTAATAAAAACTTTAACATTTAAATTTGTAAAGTATTATACAGGCTGTTCCGTCTAAACCCCACGTTAAAAGTATTGGGAGTTCGAATAATCATATTTGTTTGAAAATTTGTACATAGCCATAATGCATTAAGTCCTCCTAAATGAAAATATTTTCAAGATGATGGCACTTCCTGTTATACCGGAAGTCGGTCTCAACTTTCTTATTTTAAAACTGCGTTTTTGGATTAATCGGGTTATTTTAAGAGAGTTATTATCAGCTTTCCCTATACCCAAATTTAACCGTTTTTCAAATACAAAAATTTTTGGAATTGCACCTTCCACTTTAAAAATCGGTAACTCTGCCATTTTTTTAAATTTTGAATTCGTTTTTTTGGCTTTTCAAAGAGAAAGTTTAGATCTTTCTTCCGGTGTTTTCAGATTTTGAAAAAAAAAAATAACAAACCCTAAAATTTTAAGGTTACTTTTGTAATAATTCAAATACCCGTAACTCAATTTTTCTAAATGAAATACCTCAATTTTTATTTTACTAAATGGAAGAGAATTTAATTCTGCATCGATCTGTTTTAACATTCCCTATACCTAAATTTAATAATTTTTAAGTTATGGTGACTTTTTTGAGACTACCGAAAATCTATTACTAGCCACATCCGTTTTCGTATAGATTACCATGGAAATAAAATTTGACAAACTTTTTTCTCAATAAACGTCGACAGTGACACTGACAAATAGTGCTAAAATATGGAGAGGCAAAGCTACTGCTGAAACTTAGATTTAATTAATTTATTTTGTATTTATGGAGAGTGTAACAAAATTATGATGTCGTTCATTAAACAAAAATAAATTTTTCTCACTTGTTTTTAAATAATGATCGCATATTTTGGCACTATTTGTCAAATAATAAGTCACTGTCGACGTTTATTGAGAAATAATTTTGACATTTTTGATTTCCATAGCAAACTATGTGAAAACGGGTGTGGCTAGTAATAAATTTTCTGTAGTCTTAAAAAAAATCCATAACTTGAAAATTATTAAATTTAGGTATAAGGAATGTTAATACAGATCAATGCACGATTAAATTCTCTTCTATTTAGTAAAATAAAAATTGGGGTCATTTGAAAAAAATGAGTTATGAGTATTTGAATTATTACAAAAGTAACCTTAAAACTTTGGGATATGTTTTTTTTTTCAAAATTTGAAAACACCAGAAAAAGGATCTAAGCTTTCTCTTTCAAACGCCAAAAAAACGAATTCAAAATCTTAAAAAATGGCCGAGGTACCGATTTTTAAAGTGGAAGGTGCAGATCCAAAATTTTTTGAAAAACTCCAAATAATTCCAATGCAAAATGCTAAATTTAGATATAGGGAAAGCTGATGAAAACTCCCTTAAAATAACTCGATTAATCCAAAAACGCAGTAAAAAATATACCTTTCCATTTAAAATAAGAAAGTTGAGACCGACTTCCGGTATAACCGGAACCGGAGTGCCGCCATATTGAAAATATTTTGAGGACTTAATGGTTTATGGCTATGTACCAATTTGCAAATAAATACGATTATTCCAACTCCCAATACTTCTAATGTGGGGTTTAGACGGAACACCCTGTATTTTTTTAGGGTGGGGACTTGATAAAAACTAATAGAGGAAACATTACAAAAATTGAACAGGGAAAAGCAACATGAACCAATTTTTGACTTGAGAAAACATTTTTGCAGGTACCCGAGTTCGTGCCGAAATCTGGCGTCAAGATCGCCGTCACCGATTCGCAAATGGCAATGACGAACGGCTCAAGCGTTGATTTGGACCGCGTAAGCCAAATTAGGGAGGAATTACCGTCTGTAGCCGAATTGGGCAATCTTTGTCTCACTCCACTCGAGTTCGAAAAAGACGACGATACAAACCTCCACATGGACTTCATAGTGGCCGCTTCAAACCTGCGAGCCGCCAACTATAAAATCCCGCCAGCTGATCGACACAAGTCGAAGCTGATTGCTGGCAAAATCATCCCAGCTATTGCGACAACAACCTCAGTCGTGGCCGGTCTCGTCTGTCTCGAGTTGTATAAGTTGACAAGAAGCTTAAAATCATTGACACCGTTTAAGAACGGTTTTGTCAACTTGGCTCTGCCATTCTTCGGATTTTCGGAGCCGATTGCTGCGCCCAAGAACGAATACTGCGGGAAGGAATGGACGTTGTGGGACAGATTCGAGGTGGATGGAGAGATGACTTTGAGTGAGTTCCTGGAGTACTTCAAGGAGAAGCACGGTTTGGAGATCACGATGTTGTCGCAAGGGGTTTGCATGTTGTACTCGTTCTTCATGGCCAAGGCTAAAGCGCAGGAACGTCTAGGACTACCCATGTCCGAAATCGTGAAGAGGGTCTCGAAGAAGAAGCTTGAACCCCACGTCAAGGCTTTAGTGTTTGAATTGTGTTGTAACGATGCTGACGGAAACGATGTTGAAGTTCCGTATGTTAAGTATAATTTACCTTGAATGGTTACGTGTTGGCTGCATTCGCATTAGGGCATTTAATGACAGTTATTAGGTGTGCACTAAATTGAACTATTCTGGGTATTTATCAAATTGTGATCTTGTAAATTATTTATATATTTTGCAAGCATAATACATACTAGAACACGTGTTCGGTAGGAATTTGTTATTACTTGCCCAGTGATTCTCTCACATGAATTCATATTATTTGTGTTATGGCGAGTGAACTTCAATGAGCTAATGCAATATAATCGTACGTATGCTGATACTGGAATACATTGTAGGTTCAGGATAGTGTTTATTTTCTTAAATATTTTGATGTGTGAAATTTAATAAATATGTTTTCAACATTACGATTGTTTTATACTCTTTCATCATTTTCTCTTTTCAGTGCGTATTACTGAAAAACATTTATTTTGAAAAAGTCTAAAGCTTGTATCTTTATTAAAACAAGATATTCTTGAACACAATGTGAAGACAACAAATTTTCTTCAATGATTTATTTTATTTTAAATTTCAAGTTTGGAAAATATTGAAATTCTGTGTTCGCTTATTGTGTTAACATGGCGTTAACTCGCTAGAATTCCCCTAAAAAATGGTTGTGTATTTTTTGTTTTGTTTTGTTTTGTGAATCTATAAAAGATAAAATAAACAGCTCAGCGAATATTTAGTGAACTGGTTGAAACAGTATGTAAATTTAAGATTATTCTATTATTTTCTACTTGATTTTTTGAATTGGAGGTTAGGATGTTTGTTATTGTTTTAGATTAGCTTAAGATGACGACGAAAGTTTATGGTGTGGACATGGAGGTCCTACAGAAACTTTATCAATTCCAGTTTTTGTTAAAGAGAAGAAAATTTAACAAAGAATTTGACAAAATGGAGTTTCTGGCTTATGTGCAACTTAAAAGTGAAAAAGAAACAATTCCAGTAATTAAACAAATTTCAGTGGTGAATACTAGCATTTTAATTGAAGAAGGAATAACAATATCAAAATATCAGTTACTCAAAATCGAAAAAAACGATGACAACAACCATGTTGTTGTAAAATTTAAAAAACCAATCTGGGGGTTGGGTTCGTTTATATCCTTCGATTTTAAGACTAAAGTGGAAAAAAAAGATTTCTTGGATGCAATCAGAGAAATAGAAATTGATGAAAGGTGAGACAACTCAAAACAATTAAATTGTATTTATGATAATTCTTGCAGTGATGTTGAACAATCAGAAATGACCCCACCGGGTTCAGATGATAGCTCAAATTAAATTTATGATCTCCTGTCCGGTCCTGTTAAATCTAGAGAGAAAGGGGGTCACGTTATATTGGAATTAGTTTATATTATTGACAAACCACACGTTTCCCCAAAAGACCAGCCCACATATTCACCGAAAAGTGTTGCTGATATGCCCTCGGAATTAAAGCATTTGGATTTTACTTAAGTAGTCACTGGAATACATTGTTGGTTCAGGATAGTGTTTATTTTCTTAAATATTTTGATGTGTGAAATTTAATTAACAAATATGTTTTCAACATGACGATTTTTTATACAATTTCATCATTTTTTCTTTTGAGTGCGTATTACTAAAACAATTATTTTGAAAAGTCTAAAGCTTGTATCTTTACATATTAAAGCAAAATATTCTTGAACACAATGAGAAGTCTCAACAAATTTTCTTCAACGATTTATTTTATTTTAAAATTTCAACCTTGGAAAATTCTGTTTGTTTAGAAAAATGTGTGGCAACTACTTCTAACTAATTTTGTAATTATAAAAGCAAAATCAAAAGTCTTTCATATGAAAATAACCCGAAATTTGAGAGGATTTTCTGGAAATTTTTAAATGCCTTGACTAAGGTCATTCAAGAGACAATTCATTTTGTGCGGTTGGTACTCCTACTCGCCCTTCATGAAGTGGTGTATTTATTTTTGTTTTGTGAATCTAAAAGATATAATATAATAATATTTGGTCGAGTTGAACTCATTTAAGTGATTTACAAGAACCACAACTGATACTTATCGAGTAATTTAGTTCGCCAGTAGAGACAATGAGCAATACGTCGTTCATTTTGTACATACCAGAAGTCGCCCTAGAAAAGATCTTTTCATTTTTGACATACGATGAAATCGCCAAAAACCGACTGGTAAGTTATTTAAATCATCCACGTGCAGATTTTCGCATTCATTACGAAATTTTCAATAAAACATTCGTTTTGTGGTCTTTAAATGGCGTAGGGTTTTTCGAGTCGTTGCGTTGGTCGCCTGCGTTAATTCTGTCAATTTGACGTTTTATAAAAACGCGCCATTTCTTGTGTTGTGAAACGTTTTCTAGTTTTTCAAATGATTTCGGGGAAAAATGTCCGAGGATTTGTTAGACAGTCTTCTCTCAGTGGCAACCGAAGAATTGAAAAAGGATAATGTCCCCACAAGAACCTTAACTGAAGCAGATCTATTCGGCAAAGACGATGACGAAAATTCGTCAAAAAACACATCAAAAAGTTTAATTCACACAGGAGACACCGATTCTTCAGACGACGAAGACAATAAATATTACGAGGAACGAAAATACAATGACTGCGGGCGTGAAATTAAGCATTTATTGGAGTCGTCTAATCGTTCGGCTTCAAATAGCCCCGTTTCTCAACCAGAAGTCACATGGAAAAGTAAATCAAATAATCAGCCTATTAAACCCAAAATTTTGCCAAAAATACAAGACGTACAGAGTGACCCTATATTTGGATTAAGGGTTGTCAACCCAGTGATATCATTCAATGCTTTGCAAGAAAGAATGGTGGGACGTGAAGCTGTTGCTTTTGCAAGAATTAAAAAGTTTGTTTCGGGGAATATTTCGGATAAAAATTGGGTAATCGCGGGGGTTATTGCCGGGAAAAGTGCCGTTAAAACGTCCCAAAAGGGCAATGAATTTATAATTTGGTGTCTCAGTGATTTAAAAAATGATATTAAAACCGTATCAGTACTTTTGTTTGGGAGTGCATATAAGCAACTTTGGAAAACAGTCGTTGGTACCGTGGTAGGAATCCTGAATCCGTCAGTTCTAGAGTCAAAGGATAATTCAAGAGATGAAGTAAGTTTTCGATTAAAAAAATTCTTAATTATAATTCAGTGTTATTTTAGGCTACTTTGAGTGTTGATAATAGTCAAAAAGTTTTGATTATGGGTCAATCAAGGGATTTGGGTACTTGCAAGAGTATGAAAAAGAATGGGGGCCAATGTACCAACATTGTCAATACAAGTCATTGTGAATATTGCGTTTATCACATCAAACAAGAATATCAGAAGTGTAGTAAACGCGCAGAACTACAATCGAGTTTTGTTGGTAAAGGCTTGACAGCACTTAGGAATAAGGTTTTGGGCAAAAATGAAGTTTTTTATGCTGGAAAATCCTACACTGCAATCCCAGCAAAGCGTAGTAAGAAGCTAGAACAAAAAGAGAAAACTCTGCTTCAAGCTCTTAGTGGTAATACCCAATTGACAAGAAAAAGTAGTGTAGCAAAAAAGACGTCAAAGGTGGCTTCACATATCGAAGTTACTCAACGCCAAAGATTGCGAGATTTCAGCTTGTTGGAAAGGTTGGGTGGGAATGATGTTAAAACTGATTTCAAAGCGACACATTCGCCAGAAGTCACTTTGGAAAGTTCTAAGAAAACTGCAGTTGAAGTTATCTCAAAATTGAAAGCTGGTATTGCAACAAAAAAAGAAGAACCTGTTTCTAAGCCTCATACAATAACAAAAGCTAATGCTTCCACCGATTTTGTTAAATTAGATACTCCAGTGTTGTTGAGTTGTGAAAAAGAAACAATTGATTTGGGAGCGTCATTTACTCCCCAGCAAATCAATAGAGCAAAATTAAACGCTCTGAAGTATGTACAAAAAAATGGACCCTTGAAAAAGTCGGACCCGAATAGTATAAAATCGCCAGGAAACAAAAAACGCCCTCTGGGAAATACCGATAATTTAGACAACATTTCAAAGAGGCCAAAAATAGTCGAAAATGAGTTCCTCTCAGACCGGTTCAAAAAAATGATGGAGACAACCTCAAAACATATGGACGTCCTTGACGATCGCGATAATGAAGAACAAGAAAAGTATTTCGAAAAGTTGGAAAAGAAAGAACAAATGGAAAACAAGATGATCAATACGTTTAAAGTCGCTTGTAAGGCTGTTAGGTGTTTGCAGTGTAAATACACACATTTTTCCGCATCGCAGTTTTGTAAAGATAACAAACATCCGTTGAAAGTTTTCGATGCAATGAAACGATTTTTCAAATGTGGAAATTGTGGCAATAGAATTACTTCGCTGGAGATTGTTCCAACACTTGCTTGTAAGAATTGTGGATCAGGAATGTGGGAAAAGACAGGAATGATGAAAGAAAAAACAGTGGATGTGGTTCCGACGTTATCAATCAGGGGCGGTGAACAAGAATTCGTTAATTCGGTTATTTCAGATCCTAACCTGAATCTGCTGGTTCCTGAACAATAACAGATTTACCCAATTAAATTACGCTGAATAAATTATTTACCTTTTTTGTTATTTAATCATTTACCTTTATTAAATATTTTCTACGTGAATTCTTTCTTATTTAATCACAATAGAACGTACCCAATAGTAATATCTTAACTCATCAACAATAATTATACTTATATTTTTTAATGAATTTTTTTGAATTTTCTCGATCTCAGATAAGTTCGCATTTGGTCAAAATCGGTGAGCGGAGATAGAGCAAATATTTTTCATCTTTATTTTCATTATTAATCTAATTCTTAGAGCCCAACTATTTATTTACTTTTTATAAGAAAAAAATGTTCCCGAGTACGGATTGTACTCCAAATTTTAGTTGGTGTACTTTTTATACAATTTGTTAAATTAAATTTGCTGTATGACGTTATACAGTAGTGAATTAGTACATTTTTTTGCCCTAAATTTGTCATTCGGGTCCGTGTCCATAAAAAATACCGTTTATGTAAATTGGGACCTTAAAAGAATGCACTGATTTTCAGAACTGTTGTTTTAGGTTTGTAGAAAATTCAATGAGGTAGGAAGCCGCATGCTTTCAAGAGGATTCATTCAGTTAGAAAAAAGACACGCGGCCATTTATAAAAGAGTTAAATCCTTGCTGCCACGAAGAGAATCTGAGAGAAGAGTTCATCCATTATCTCGCCATTGTGACATTCTCCAAGCCGTCGAAACTCGAATTAGCATGCTAAACATGACATACATGAAATATATCGAAAATAATTTATTATGTTTTATACCTGGAAAAGTAAGTACAAAAAACAATAAAATTTACGAAAAGCGAGCAACATGTTTTTCAAGGTTTTGGACGAAATGATAAACGTTTTAAGCTTCGTTGAAAGTGACTGCACTCCTCCACGCACCCACCAACTTTTACAAGAACTACGCGATCTCAGCAGCATGGCGATGGAACATTTCGACGAACACATTCTGCCCCGAGTCAAAGAACACAAAGAACAAATGGAGGAAAAACGTCAAGGTAAATAAAATAACGAAAAAACTAAACTGAAATGTGAAATTTCAGCATTCATTGCCTCGTTTTCGGGAAGCCCGTCAACCCTGAAACCGGCGCAACCGTTCATCGTCCAACAAGTCAATGATTTGCAAAAAATCAAAAAACAATATAAGACATACAAACACCATATCGCTTATCTCAACCAAAACACGCAAAAGCTGATCCAGAAAATGAAAAAACAAAACAAGCGGCTAAAAGCCCAGTCGGTCAGAATTAGGGATCAAGAACGTAAAATCCAAGAACAAACCGCCAAAATACAAGAACAAGAAACTGCACTGGCCGATATCAAGAAACACATGGACGAATGGGATCAAAAATACAAAGACTTGACCAACGAGTTGGTACGTGCGAGGGATTACATTCTCTTGAAGGCTACTTCGTCCAAAGCGAGTTCTTCGTACACACCTTCGCCGCCGAAATTGTGCAGGTCCAGTATTAGGCCGCGCGTTTCCCATTTGCTTTTCCGCAATTACGGCCCGATTCATCTGGATCTGGAACGCAAGCGAAAGTCGAATTTGTTACCGGAAATTCCGGTTAAAGTGTCAAGGGCTCAAGGCGATGAAGACGAAAAGAGTATAGATGAGCTGTTACCGTTGAAAGAACCAGATAAAAGCAACGAAAGTGAAGGAAAAGGCAACTTCAGTTTTCTGATCGAAAATTTGATCAAAACTCCGTTGACGGCCATCAAGTCGAGGAAACGGAAAATGGCAGAAGAGATCGACTTAAAATAATTTTTTAACACAAGATGACATTTTTTATTAAATATTATATTTAATCTCCAGTGACTCATTGCGTAAGATTTTGTTATGTAACCTAAGGGAAGTATAGTAAGAGCAAATTTGTATTGTTTGTTAAAATCAATCATTTTTAGTTTTTGGATCAAAATTAGATTTTCTTTTCTTGTTACAAACATGATTATTAGAAATCAGTTTTTTATGATAAATGAATTTACTTGAGTTAAGTATAAGTTATTTAACAAATTCGATTTTCTTCACTCGTATGAGGTAAAAAAATGAATTACGTAAAAAATATTAAAACCTTTATTACAGCAAGAAATAAATACACAATTAAAAAAAGTAAGTCGAGTTAGAGAAGAAATTAAAGGAAATGATTGTTAAAAATGGTGTAATATAAAATACATACTGTAAGTTCTCAACACAAATTTGGTTAATAAACGTAATAAAAAAGGCTGGTTTTTAGCGTTATAATACTATATCCTTCATATTGTTAATATAAATAACTCTATTAATAAAATAAATATGTTATCTAGTATGTTACATAATGCCTTTGTTATATTTTTATGGAAACAAGTCCTTTATACCGTTAAAGTGAATGTTCCATCACAAATGAAAAGTCAAATTTTAGTGCACCAATATAAAATGTCTTTCCTATCGTGAAACATTAACTAATGAAAAGCTAAATATGACGATAAATACTTAAATCTGAAGTCACAGTAGAAAATCTAATAATGTAAATATTAAAATTGGCTGTACCACCTGATAAAAACACCCATATTGTCTTGCCATGTGTTGAAAACTAATATAAAATTGTACTAAAACCTTGGATATACAGTAATAAATATTTATCTATATGAATATCGAAATACCTTTGACTTACTTCACTAATAAATATCACTAGTACAATTAATTTCAATAAAAAAAATTAAAAAACAAAGCAATAAATAAATATAAATATTCTCAATTAAAATTTTGGCAGTATTACACTCTGCTACAGTAATAGAGCCTAATATATAAATAATAACATCAAATTTGCATTATAAAAAATTAATATTACAACAGTTAATTAATTGACTCGAATTATTTTACAAGTGTAACATATTACACTATCAGATATAAACAATACGACAAAATAAAAAATACACAAAATTTACAAAATAAGAAATAAGTACAGTGCCTCCTTAACTAAATATATTTAAATACAATGAACTGATGTCATTACCGGTTTGAAATTTTATTCCGTTTTTGTTAATAATGAGGTAACTGAAAGTACAAATATACAAAGTGTCCAATTGAAAGTACAATCACAATTCCGACTTGAACTCATTGAACACTCCGTACAAGGTCAGACATTTTCGCGCATGCATGATTCGAGAAGATAATTCTAGTGTATACTCAACTATTATGTTATTCGATAAGTCTTCAAATACGGCGTTTAGCTATCATAACTCGAACTATTATGATGATCTGCTTGGGGCGAAGGAGGAGTTGAAAGGTTTGAACTGTTATTGCTCGCGATCGAGTGACGAGGACTGCCTTTCTCCGTACCCTACACAAAAAAACCATATCATATTGACAATTTACCACAAAACACCTTACTCGTACCTTGATCATATCGTGCAGAGACGACATGCTTCCTATGCTCGCTGGATCGGGGGAAGGTGACATATCGGAAGGCCGCGGCAAAGCCGGTGGAAGATCTCTGGGACGCGGGGGCGCCGCGCGTTTTGCACCGTTATAAGCGGGAGGAAAAGCGGGACCCCGAATCGGGTTTGATATTTCCAGGCGTTTACGTTCACCGTGTTTCGGGGGCAGGGGAGCCACCTTACTTGGCTGCAAGATTTTGCAATTAACTTAACTAACGTGCTACAAGTTTGAAACTTACTCGTGGTTGCACCTGAGGACCGTAGGAGGACTGATCAGGACTATCAACTAAGTTCGTCGAAAGATCAATCAGTCTTTGTCTCTGTATGCCCTCGCCGGGACCCATGTGACTTATATGGTTGAAGTTGGTCGGTGCCGATATTAGTTTTGACCGGCGATCCGTGCTCCTGCAAATTTATGTTATGTAAGGACCAATAACCCACAACCTTTGCAGTTAAAAAAAGCTTCCAACAACAAAGCTGTTGGCCGAAATTTTCGTGATTTTCTTGAATAACAATAATTAAAATAGGTAAATTGACTATTAGTTGAAAAATAAAAAAATATAAAAGATCATTTTTGTTTACAGCTTAAGTCTTTAAAATTTATAAAAACTTTGGGAGCGGTTACACAAGTACTGCACAACTACTTTGCTTAGTTGACCGCCCCCAAAGCTTTTATAAATTTTAAAAACTTAAGCTGTAAGCAAAAATGTTCTTCTCTCATAGAAAAAAAAACATTTTTTACTTTTTCGTACATTTTTTTAAATACATTTTTATTTCTCTCTTTAATTAGGTACTTTTTAGTGAAAAACTTTAAATTTCAAACACAAAGAAAATTTTTATTTATTGAATAGATTTCAAACGTCTCAAATAGTGATGATAAAATTTCACCCTTAATATCTTCGTTCCTGTGAGATAGGGGGTTGGTTTTGCCCTTAAAAAAACCCTAGCAACCCGTTGGGTTTTTCCTGCTTTATTGAATAGAGTTGGTAAGTATTACAATTAATGGCCGAGATATTGATAATAATTGTTAATAACAATGAAATGTTAATTGTTTATAAATTATTCTTAATTTCAATTCGATTTAATGATTTACATACCCCAGTCCACTGAGTTATTTAAGAGGTCTTTCTCATATCAAATTACTAAATTGTACAACAGTTTACCTCATTCTTAAAAATCTAAACTTTACTAAATTTAAACAAACGTTGAAAAAATTACTTTTGGCCAACCGAGCCTTTAATTAAGCCTGATTTAGTTCTTTTTTCTTTTGAATATTTAGATGTGCAACATGAACTTGCAACATAAACTTGCCTCAAGACTATTTTACTTCAATAATTTTTCTTTTTCTGTTTGATTTTTTTTAAATCTACACTGTATGTGTTTATTTTGGTATTTGCTAAGCTCAAGATGAAAAACAAGGGGTGTGCAATCGCGAATTTGTCATTGTACACCCATCTGATCTTCGGCTTTTATACAGGGTCATTCTTAAATAGACCGACAAAATTTTATCACAGCTTCCTAAGGATAAATGGAGACAAACTGTACCCTTTTTACGTTTATACTTTTAGGGGCAAAACCCCCTTGACCCATGCCACTTACGGCGTCTGTGAATTGTTGCAATGATCAAGTACGTTAATCCCATTAATACCATGGTTTCCACTATAATATATTCACTAAACTCCCGACATGTCAAAATGACATTAAGTTAGTAAAACAAAAAGTCACTATGGCTATGTTGGTGACAACTTCACTCAAAGTTTAACAACCTGGTCGCTATCACTTGATTTGAAATGATTTAATTATTATCATTGGTGCAATGTGCCGTGTCCCATGGAAACTTGACATCAAGTACAGTCAGATGAAATAATTGTAATCTATGTCGTTTAGGATACACTCAAAAATTTTGGTTTGACATTGTAAACGTCACGGGAGTTTTGTGAATACATAATACCTGTGCTAACAAACACATCAGTGGTGTACGCTTTACTTCGAAAATAACTTTAATAAATTTTATTTGAAGAACGTTTAAACAAAGAATTTTCTAAATATTTTTTACAGCATGTTTTCATTTGATCCTACCAAGGATAAAATTTTGTCGGTTTATTTAAGAATCACCCTATATGCACGTTTTGTTTTATTTTCTTGTATATTATTTTATTTTTTATTTTTTGCATATAATAGACCTTTATTATTATTATTATTATTATTATTATTATTATTAACTAAAGTAAATAACCTGTAACTGTCACAGACCAACACCAAAATCCTCATTTAGACGAATGGAAATGTATTTCATTAACTTTTAAAGATATTTTCAAATACGGCTGTTCAATTTTTTCACACGGATAATCTTGAAGGTGTTAATTATTGCGTTTTAAAAGAGTAATTACGTCAAGAACCACAGTGCCAAATGTGCTTTACTTACATTCGTTGTGACCTATTTCCCTCTCTCAGCGAAAACCTCCTTCGCGGTCTCTGTAAAGTCCGTCCCTCTCTATCTAACGTAACCACATTATCTAAATTAATTAATTCACCTGTAAAAACACCACACATACCAAAACAATCTCAAATATATAAACAAAAACTCACGTTGATGAATATTAGACAGATACAACAAATGAGTTAAATCATTTAGAATGCATAACGAAAGTGAACCACTATCATTAAGAGGTTTGGCTTTCTTGATGTTAAGTGTCTGAACCCACTCTCCGGTTGCACAATTAAAAATATCGATGTGAGTCTCACTATAAACGATAAGATGACCATCTCTATAGCCTACATATAAAAAAAAAATAATTACAAAAGGCAAATAATAAAATCCGCACATACATATCGCTGACGGCACTGCTGGATACATGATTTCTCTATCTCGAGATTTGCGGCCGTGTCTGTCGACATAAGCCGCTAAAGTACTAAAAACTAGGAGATATTCATGACGAGGCAACTCTATTACTCTTAATGCCTCAACGGCATTACAGGCCAGTGTGGCATATAGCGGATTCTCCGAACTCAACAAAGCTAAAAAAATAACTAACAAATCTGGTTTATATGAAAAAAAAAAAACTTACAGAAAAGAGGTTGTTCCGTTTGCAGATTACAAATCGTGAAATTCGAAGGAGAACCGATACAAAGTCGACCATCCGACAACAATTGCAATGACTGAACTGGCGCCCCCACATTTATATCCCGAATTCTATGATGTCGAGTTCTTGTCCTCGTTATCTCGTATACAATTATAGTCGAGGAATTTTGCTACAATTATTGATTCAACACGACATTATTCGAACTATGAACCCAAATACCTGTTTCTTTATCGCCACACATAAACAAAACGTCAACGGCGCCCTCACAACAGGCCCCACCGTCAGCACTGAACAACCCTTACTTTCCGCCACTTTGATCCATTCAGTCTCATCACCGTCCAATGCTCTAATGGGAACCAATCGTACGTATCTCTGTTTGCCACTAACCACAACCAAAAGGTGCTCCTCACTGATATATTCTAATTGGAAAATCTTTTTGCCTTCGCCAATTTTCGCAATTTCAGTGCGGTCTAAATCGACACAGTGAAGTCCTTCTTCAGCACCTAAGACTATGCGATCGGGGTCGATAATCGCCGCACTTAATGTGTTTCTTAGTAAAGTTAGGGAATTGTCGATCAATTCGCGGGCTAATAAGACTGTAGTGTTGGGTAAATTGTTTCTTTTCATTATTCGATGTAGTTCGGAAAGGGCGACGACCCATTTGTTCTTTTCGGCTTCGGTGTCGGCCAACATCAGGGTTGAGTTGCGCGGACCCGGGGGTTCCATCAAAGAGGTGGTAATCTGAGATAGATTGTACGATAAAATCAATTTTTCTGAATTATCTATTTGTTACTTTTTCGAATAAACATGCATGATCATAAAAAAACTCTCAGACTATCACTTTTAAATTTTCCAGATTTATTATAAGATTATTCAAAATTACTAGAGAATTTGTTTATGACAAAAGCTGTTAAAATTATCTTTGAAAAAAACACATTAATTCTTGTTGTAACATAAAAAAAAAAA